AAGGTGTGAAGCCACAATCCTTTGGACAAATTGTTATCCACAAAATAAACAAACTATCTTTAACTCTTGCATTTACTTATTTGCTCACACATGACTGTGACTAGTCACTACAAATATATGTTGTATATATCTCGTACACAGATAGGGGTAGAGATGACATTGTGGTTAATATATAGAAAATTCCAAAATGGATATTACATTAAAATAGAAATTGTAATTTTCTAAAAAAAAAACAATGCCTACAAACGAATCATCACCTTATATGTCCTTATGTTTTGTAGAAAAAAAATCATGATCGTATGGAGAAAGAAATCGAATTCCCAATAATATCCCTTTTCATCTCTATATGACATCCCTACATTTTGTGTTTACATATTTTTATATGTATAACTGTTGTACTGACTGTTAGCACTTCTCGATTTGCATTGCAAACATAGCCCATTTGAATATTCATTCGATACACTCTAAAACTTTTTACTTGTGTTTCATGGTTAGTTTTGTTTTTTTTTACCTAAAAATCTTGTTTTCGGTGTAGCTTTTCGAAAGTGAGAGAGCAAAAACAAAAAATATATATATCATTGTAAAGTTACCCAAAAAAGGATTGTGTAAAATTAAATTTTGAAATATGTTTGGTAAAGACTACCAAAAGTGTCTGTCAAACAGGACACACCTAAAGCAAATACACAAAAAATTTGTATCCTGCTATAATGCTGTAATATATTAAAGCTTTGATTGCTTGTTTGTTGTTGTTGATATTGGTGTTGCTGGAGTTTGTCAGAATTGGGGCTAACCGCATAGCGCAGATTTATTTGGTACATGGAGTAGTGAATGAAATGTGGTGAAAGTAACAAATTTGTAAGTATCATAATTTGTAATATTTCCAGTTTCAGTTTTTTTTTTCAACCGACTGACCAAAGGTTATGTGGTTTGGTGTTCTTTTTTTATTTTGCCTGGACTCGTTGAAATTTGACAAAATTGTTTAAACACACAGCACATCATACTGTTGTGGGATAGAGAATTAATTTTGTGAATAAAAGACCTTTTGTGAGTTGGCTTCATGGCAAGGCTATTTTTTGGATGCATTGCCAATTTAAGATTTATGGAGTGCTTATATACATAAACATACATTTTACTCAGTTTAAAATTTATAAATTTTGATTTTGTAAATATGATTTTGTTATTTTTATAAATATAATTTCTCTGCACATCATTTTTTCCTCCTTTACCCACTATTACCCCAAATTGGTTGTGCTACTTTTTTCTCTACAAAGCCAGTGATGACAAATGTAGAAATTTGTGCTGGTGCCAGAATAGAAATTTATCATTTCAATTTAAATGTAAAACTTTTCCCCACAAATTGGATCTAGAAAAAGCCTCTGACTACCACAACAACAAATGGTTTCCGAAAAATAAAATAAAAAAGACCATCATCATCAGGTGAAACCTTAAATAATAAAAATAAAATATTACATTTATTTATCATATGTAATGTACGCACACACACACATATATATATGTCTGTAAAATGGATGTGGGTGTGTATGTGTGTGTTAAGGGGCTTTTTTCCTTTACCCAGCACCAAGGATAATGTGTAACCAAATATCCCAATGTAATGTTCATAGTAGTACCATCATTAACACCAACTAAAGAGGTGAAATCTTTTGTTGGCAGCCACTATGATGATGATGGCGATGGTGTAAGTTATTTTCCATCTACCACTTTTTTACGTGCTGGCAGCGTAGCCTCCAGTTTTTTGGCATCCTTTTTAGAATGCTAAAGAGGAGAAAAAGAAGAAGAAAAAACTACCAAGAGATAGACAACCATTTAATGGTAAATGTCTCATTTAAGCCCTCATAAAATTTAAGAACAAATGTTAAAGTCGTCGTTTGTTGTTACAACGAATACCAACACGGCGGGCAGAGCTGGGCGGTTAGAAAATGAGAGCATCATAGTTCCATGGGGTAGTATAAGCCAGGAAATTTATGGTACATGGTATCCCTCCATTGCCAAATGCACATAACACAATTTAAATTAATGCAAACCAAAAACAACGTACGAAATGAAAGAGACCAAAAAGACAGAACACATAACCATTTTGGAACACATTTAAAATAATGAAACACCTTGGCAGGATGTAGTTAGTAGTAGTGGTGGGTATGGGTGTGTGTGTGTGTGTCAGGGCAAAGGAATTACTTAAAACATGATTTGTACTTAACACCCACAAACACTAATGCAAATGATGACCATCAAAGATTAAAAGGGGTCCAGTGACCCACAACAAACACTGGCACTCACACACGTACGCCCCCCACACATATGTTAAAGGATTCCAGTGGTAAATTTTTAATGAATTCCTGTGTTAAGAATAATGAGAAAGTGGTTTAACCTCACTTTACATGGTGATCTATTGACTTTGTGGTTTTAAGTGAAATAATAAGTAGATGATTGAAGTTGTAGTAGTGTTGGGTTTTGTTTTTTTGTATTACAATTGCTGTTGATTAGATGGAAAGTATATGTGAGTGAGTGTACTGAAAATACATAGTACTCGAAAATGTGTGAATAAAGTTACATTTTTTTTTAATATTTAAAGAAATTTAAACATCAAAGAATGTTTGTGTACTTATTTTTAGGAATACATGCTTAAAGCTTGGGTCTATAAGCTTGTTCGTTGTTAAATTATAAAAGTGTATCAAAGTCTGACGTTCTCTATTGTTTCCTCATTTTGTGTTGGATAAAATATAAAATTTATCTTTAAGAAATATCCGAAAATAAATAGAAGTGTTAAATTAATATTTATGGAATGGCACAACAAATTTATTTCCTCATCAGTTACCTCATTTGTCTAGTTGGTGAAGTTTTTTGATTACATTTGAATTGAGGTGATCTTAAAATATTTCAATCCCTTTAAAACTCAGAATTTTATTAAAAAAAACTATTTGAAAAATTGTTCTAAATATGTAATAAATTTTAATATGACCTACCACATATTTCGTTACTGAAACTAATTATACAATCTTACATGACATTTACAAACTATATAAAAAACGAAATAACACGTCAAGAATTATTGATGGTCATGTCAACAGCTAATACACCTACCCCCCAGTTTTAAACGATTATATTAAAAACAATGTGAGTAACTAATTTCCCTCATACATCCATACACACCACAACTCGTTCAAGGGAAATTTCAACATTGACACACGCAAGGTTTTCCAACAGTTACGGGGGTGTTTGCCACCTGTTAAACCCTGCTGCTTAACTTAAACATAATATATGTATTGAAGAAAACTAAACATAATCGCTCGAATGTAACTCTTTTGGAAACTAAACAAAATCATACCGCAAGAATTGTGAGAAATTTTTACTTGTTTATATATACATATTCCCGTACTATGTATGTGTGTGTATATTGTGTTGCCACTCACCAGCGAAGCAGAAAAATCTGTGAACTAACTTCCAGTTAGTTGTTGACATGCAACCTCAATGTCAAACCTCAAACCAACTCACCAAAAAAATTACAAAAAAATACGAGAAGGGGAAATTGTATGTGACATCTAATTGACGATTTAATTGAAACGCCCCGTCGCACTACCCACCCATGTTTTGAGTTTACCCTTCACGTGTCCGTGGCCATTTGAAGCCAATTAAAATAATTTAAGATTCACGTTTGTTGTTTTAAAGCTTAAAGAGTCTACTTATGTGTGTGTGTTGGTGGTAAGTTATGATTTTTTTTAAGGAAAAGAATGGGATATTAAGTTTTGGTTATAATCTTAATTCCATGAAATTTAATGTGGATAATTATTAAATAAAGTTGATATTTTATAAATTCACATTAGTATTGAGAAAAACATTGCATGTATTAGTCTTTAAAAATATTTAAGAAATCCACGCTTGTATTAGTGCTGTAGAATTAGCCACTATTTTGTTTCTAAAATATATAATATAAGAATAGTCCCACTTTAATATTTTTTGTCCTAAAAAATATTTCAAATTATTTCCCACTCAATCAAATTGTATCTTTAGTCCAATATCCACCAACGATATACACATTTTAAAGCATTTTCATTTTTAATTTTACAATTTATATCGAAATTACATATCAGACATGAACATGCATGCTTTTATTGCTAAACATAATTAGTGGCAATGACAATTGTTATTTATTTTACTATTACCTTTTTTCTATTATTATCACTTTTATTGGATATGTGAATGAATGAACAAGAGAAGGAGGAGGAGCAGGTTACTGCTGTGCTAACTAGCTAATAGGAGTACAACTATTATTATAGGGGTGCAACCTCTAAATGGATTTAAATGTAATCGACATGATTTTCAATTTAGAAACGTGGTCGGTCAGTGCATTTGGATTTGAATACAGAAGCTAGTGTCGGAACAAATGAAATTATAAAACAAAATATATTGAGTAAATAATAGCACAAGTTGATAAAAGGATAATAGGTGTAATTTATGTACATACATACATATGTATATATTAATATACATATTTTAAATTAGGGAAATTTCATTAAATGTGAAAATTCGCCTATGATTGAATATTTCTAGAATAAAAGATTCCGAAACTTGATGCCAATATATAAAATAAACACAACAACCAATCGGTTTCTGGTTCTTTTTTCTCGGGCTTCCCTAGTAAACATTTTGTGTAGATTATTACACATCTAGTTTTTGGTTTAACACCAGCTTAATTCATTGTTACAATGTCAATACCAATATTCTTTATATCCCATCAACTATCAGTTTCATTTTTCATTATTCGTTTTATAAAGGAAAACATAATACCCTCTCCGTTGTTTTGAACAAATTGAGATATTTCGACATGTTTTGGATGTATCCTTCCTTAATAAAAATTTAAATAATTTTGATACATGTAAAAAAAAAAACAAATTGATAACAAAAAAATGAAAGTTGGCCACTATAATATAATAACCAACCAACCAACAAAACATAAAGAGAGAATAAAAAAAAACTTTACTTACAATTAACATTTAACGTGGCTGTGGCTTCCAAACGTTCACCCTCGTTCATGGCACGATTCCAAACAACACATTTGTATTTGGCAGCATCGTCCTCGCGACGTGGCACAATGGTTAACGTTGCATTGGTGGGTTGATCCTTTGAGCCTCCTTTGAGTACAACAGCTTGCAGCATTGTATTGCTGCCTTCGCGATACCAGCTGCATATGCAAGGCGATGGAGAAGAAGAAGAAAAAGCAGAGAAAAAAAACAAAATATAACAATAAGAAACGGGAACACGGGTTTCAGCCAAAAAAAAAACACACACACACACACAAAATGTACAGATAGAGAGATACGTGAAACGGAAATGAAACAAAAACATGAAAAATTATTTCGCATTTTTTTCGATTTTACATGGACTCTCAGTCAGTCTTAGTTTGGACAGTCGTACAACACTATCATCCATGGCTGTCCGAGTAAAACAACTACAATCGGGGTTTTTGTTGTTTCGATAGTTTTTGGCGGTGTTGGACATGGGTGGTGGTGGCCTGGCCATTCATGGAACTAATGGTACATGCAGATGTTTGTTTGCCTTCCGCAAAATGTGAGAGTGAATATGTGTGTCCGACTGCCAGCCAGGCAGCCAACTAACCAGCCTGCAAGTGGATACTTTATCATCATCAGTGGGGCTGCCGAAATAGTTGTTGTTGTTCCTTTGCTCGTTAATGTTGTTGTAGCTACTGCTGCTGTTGTTTCCTTTTTTGTGCTGTCGTTGTTGTTGTTGCTGATATCGTTAAGTGGCATCATTCGGGTTTATTTGTATTTTCCATTTGTTTTGGTGTCTCTCTTCATTTAGTATTTATCCCTCTATTTTCCGCCAGAATATTTGTTTGCAAATATTTAAGCGTACGTGTGCGAGTGTGTGTGTATGTATGTGTGGACTCATACAAACACACCGGGTGTGTGGTTTGGTTTGAAAGTTATTTTTGCTATATGTAAGTGTATGTGTGTGTGGTTTCGTCTTTTGTTGCAACATATCTTATTGTTGTTGGCAAAGGAAATGCAGTAGAAGGGAAAATCAACAACACAAGTTCTGCTCTGTTTTATTTTTTCCTTGATTTTGGCAAACGTTGAGCTTTGCTCTTCTTCTCAAAATTTTTGGACACTTCCGTTGAACATAATTTTAAATTGTTCTTCGTCTGTTCATTTTCTGAAGTTTTTCGCTAAATGAAATCTAATTGTCCTTTTTAAGTGCAGTCAGTCGTAGTGATGCCGGGAAAGGACTCGTGACTCTAAATTAATATTAAAATTGAATTCATCCCCTTTTAGTGGTGTTGCCTGCTGCTGCAGTAGATTCTATTAGGAATGATATGAAACTTTACTTTGTTAATGACTTTTCAGCAACAGTTTACCAAACGAAAAGGACAGAAAAAAAAACAAAAACGTTTGGGAAAACTTTTAGCAATTATTAAAGGTCATTATAAAACTATGTAATGCAAAGCAGATACAGAACAACTAAAAAGGATACAAAATATGAAGTTATCTACATTAATTGCACTGAATTTTTGAGAAACTTACAGGGTTGATATAAGACATTTCTTGGCACATTATAGTTGCCGTCCAGAAAAATAAAAAAGATGTAGACTGACTTGAAATATTTTAATGTGGCAAGTTGAGTTTTTTCAATTAAAAAATGTTCATGATTCAAAACTTTTAAAGGTTATCCAATGGAAGTGGAAAACAAAGAAGCTGTATAATTAAAACACTACCGATTCAATTTGTATCAATATTTTTTGGGAGAGAATTTTTGTATAGGTCCTTTATGTTTGTACCATTCATTCCCTTTGAAGGCTTAAATTCTCCAATATCAATTTCTTTTGGTTTTTATTTTAATAATATATTTCGTTTGTATCTTTATTGAAATGAAGTCAGTCAGCATTTCACTATTATTCGTTTATATTTTTTACAGCTGACAATTGTTCTTTTGTAGCCAATCATGTCTCACATCTTCAGCTTTTCTTTTTTGTCATTATTTCAGACTTAAAATGGTGTATCCTTTTGATATAGTCCACACATCGAGTATATGTGTGTTTGTGTGTCGCCTCCTGATCCTTGTTAGACATGGATTTCTTCATGTTGTTATTGTCATTATTCTTGTGTTCTTTTGAGTAGTTGTGTGTGTGGATGTATGTGGATGTGTGTGGGTGGTAATGAAACGAAATTTATGCCATTTATTTAATATCACACTTTTCGGATAGCGGATAGCATTGCTGTCATCATAAGGGAATTAAGTGCCAAATTTATTATGCAATGTAATTTCTTTTGTCGCTGTTGTTTGTCTTATTTTTTAATTTTTATTATTTTCTCATATTCTCAGTTTACAACGTAAATTAAAATGGCACGTAGAGTGTGTGCGTGCATGCGTATGTAGTCGTGCACACACATATAAAATCAAAAAGACTATGCGAAAGCGTAGCAGGAAAATGGAAAACCAAACGCTGTTTAATTCCAGGAGACACAAATGCTTTCAAGAAGCTCATAAAATATACATATTACGACAGGCTCGGGACCCATTTCTGGCTTTCAATGAGTGGCTCACTCTTGTTTTGGTCACAACAACTGGTCGTAGTAGTAGCATCAGCAGCAGTAGCAGCAGCAGTACGAACAGCATCAAATCAGCGCTCCACGGTTGGCTGGCAGGAATTTTATTTCAATTAAATGACCACGACGACGAAGACGACTTAATATAAACCGACACAATTGCAGGACTTGCAGCTTTAAGGATGCAAAAATGTCCAGCTGTAAAATGGCTGGGACTGACTGTATACTTACGTTATCGTTGGATCGGGTGAACCACCAATACTACTGCATGTCAATTCCATGGTTTTATCTTCGGTGGCAACGGCTATATTGCCAGGCGATATGACAGGCGGATGTGGCGGCGTAAGCACAGTTAAATTGTAAAATTCCTGATGCACATCGGCACCTGTGCCTTTGGCCTTAATACGACACTCGAAACGGCCATTGTCGCGAGCGTAGGAGGCATTTTTAATTTGTAGATCGTAAATGCCGCTTTTAGGACGAAAATCAAGCCTGCAATGGAAATGGAAAATGTAGATGAAATAAAGCAAAATAATAGTAAAAACACGGATATAACAAAAAGGGAAATCGGTTCAGAAATCAAACAGCTATTAAAAGCCAACATCACCAACCACCAGCGTAGCCACCACTTCCAGTGTGGCCACGACCACTACAAATACACTGTGAAAATAAGACATAGCACGTGCAGAATTCACGATAAAAATAATTGAAAATGTTAAACACAAGAAGGTGCGGGCGAAAGGGAAAAAACAAATAAGAAAATGGTAAGAAAGCAAAACGTCGTTTGCCATTTCAATTTAATTAAGAACAAGACAACTTACTTCTCGCAGCCCCGGCAAGCCACTTCGACATGGATCACTATGAAAGGATTTTTTCATGTTTTTGGTTTTACAAACCAATTTGTAAGGTATTCGATTCGATAATTGAAATATTTTTCAAAATATATAACATTGAAATAAATATGCTATTAATTTTCCCGATTCCCTATATTTCCCCATCGCATCGTTTCGTAGCCAAGTAACACAGATTATTTGTGCTGTCTAAGCGAAGACTGCGAAAAAGCCAGCATAGCATAATAATCGGTAATTGACAAATTACAATCACAAGGACCACCAGGACCAGGACCAGTCAGTCCAAAGGTATTTCATGTTAATTTGAGCTTCTTAAAGGTAATATGTCTTATTGTGTCATATCCCACCAAGCAATAACAACGATAAAACCAAACTTTTGAAATTACTTCGGAGTCACCTAGGTAACCATTTAGAGAAGGAAGCTCCATTACCATGAACAGAGCAAAAGCACAAACGTTAATGTCCATAGATATTTCAAGTGTCCTTGAAAGTTTTACTTTTTCTGCTAAGGATTTCTTCTGCTTCTCTTCCTTTTTCAGGTTTCGTTTTTGATGGCCTTATCAGTATGCTTTCGGTTTTCCCTTGGTCTTCTTCTAATATTAGAACAACAAAGCAGATCGCAAAAGAAAGTGACCTTTTCAAAGGTATGGACGGTGTCGGCTACAATGTTAATGAAGCTAATTGTCATTTGCCAGCCAGTATTCACTTCAACGCACCGGGCATTTGCGTATGAAATGGTAGATGAGGTTTGGGAATAAAATGGATGAAACGGAAAAAATACTGTTGGCCTTTTTTTATTTTTGCCAACAATATTAATTTTTAATCGCATTAAAATGAAGCCATGGCAACATAGCATCATAGCCCAGCAGCAGCAGCTAGACAGGAAATCATATTTTTAAGGTAATGACTTCAAGTGAGGCATACTTTCAGGCTGTTTTTTAAGTTAATAAATCTCAATAACATGGTCATAACAATTAACATTTAAATACACAGGAAATGTTGTTGTGGGCAGCGGAGGGAGAGAAACTGATACATAATATCCCTGGTGGATATTTAAATTTCCTTTCCACGTTTTTTTTTGTTTGGATTATTATGAAATCATACATTTAATTATGTGGAGGGAGTTTGTTCACAAAATACTCGATATTTATTTCATTCTATTAGATCACAATTCACTTTATTTCAAATACCAAATATATAGCAATTAAAGTAATATTTCTTCTGAATAAAACCAAAAATAAAGCAAATTCACCATTTCCGAATAACATCTTCAGAGATTTATTCAATTATGGCCATACCAAGAACAACAAAATGTTGTTTAATTTCCCAATAAAGTATTTGGGCACTATTTCAATTACCAAAATATATCCAGTTTGTGTTTTTTTTTTACGAGTGCGTGTGTTTTCTTTTTCGATTTATTATAAGGAAATGGAAATTCATATCAATAAAATGTTTTCTTGATATTTGCACTCGACATTTTCTTGAAAATTTATATTTCTGATGTTGGTTTTTATTTCATGTGATTATTTTATATGGAAATGAGTTAAGGACTGTTCTCAAAAACATTTAAGATAATAATCTGAATTTAGCGGAGTAAAATATTAAAAGTGGCAATATAAAAATACTAACTATTTAGGACCACTCAGGTATTATGGAGATTTTAAATGATGTTGGAATACCAAATACATATATATATATATATATTTAATTGGCCAACGATTATATATACATTTTAATTGAGAACAGCTGGAAGAAATATCGTAAGTATTGTATTTATCATAAATTCTATAGCATTGTTTAAGGCGGGTTTTATGAACTCTATTATAAAAAAACTTTTTATGAACTATTTCATAAATATATTAATTTTATCATAATTTTTTAATTAATTTTAAATATATACTCAATCAATTTGAGGATCGATTGGAGTATTTTTAACACGTAGTTTTCAACCTTCTGCCTAAAAAGCGAAAAATCTCCTAAAGAATTGGTAATGGCAAAATGTTGTAAACATATTATTGCGTTCTCTTTATCTCTCTCTTATTTAACAGTGTACTGCTTCTCTCAAAATCCTATCATATTTTGTTTATCAATACAGTCCTTAATCGAATATTCGGTTATAGTAAAGCAATTAGTTTGTGCATTGAATTTGAATTGTAAGTAATATTTTAGAGAGTATTTTCGGCACATCTAAACAAATTTCTAACAAAGAAAAACATAGATACAAATGAAATTTTGTTTTTATTTCCATGAGGCATAGCAAGACTATTTTCTTACAATTAATAACAAAAATGCACTCTACATTAAATTTAATGGTAATATGCGAATAGATGATTATTTAAAAACAAAGATTTTTAAAATGTTTGTTTGAAACTTTCGAGGGACAAATTGTTTTTATTTAACACGTTTCCCATCAGATTGTTGATTTAAACTACTGTAGCTCAGTTGAAAATCTAGATATATGCCAATCGTTTTTTGTTTTTACAATAAATAACTTCGTAATTATACGAAAATGTGACTTCAAAAGACAAAATCTATACAAATACAAATAAAACATCACATCATCTGTTGGAACAAATAATTTAGAATCTATTTTATATTTCAAAAGCCTAAAAGTATACACTCTCTACAGCCAAAACTGTGGGTTTTTTTATAATTTATGTACCATTTCATTATCCTTATGAAATGATACATAAATTCCTCTCTCTTGCCTTAATCTTAATGGTATTTTTAAATATGTACATATTTTAAATAGTGCAAATTAGAACGTTTTTAACAAAAACGAATCCCTTTTCAAATAATATGGTGCCCAATAATTCGTATATAATCCCACGTTTCTTTTATTTTGATGTAATTTACGTTGACATGGCATTCAAGATAAAAAATTAAAATTTGTCTATTTACATTTAGTAAATTGTGTTATTTTATGTGGTTTCCAATTTACAAGTAAAATTTATCTTTCAAATCAATTGTAGGAGGGTAGTAAAACAATTTGCAATTAAAATTTCAATCTCGATATTGCATATATTTTTAAAATCACAATAAAGGACGAGAAGTCTTTAGAAATGTGGTGATATTTGACAAATTAAACTTTTCTTTTCGTCCCTCGCATAATCGAGTTACATCTATGCATTTTTATTTGTTTTAGTTTTTTTTTTCTTTTTTTTTTTTTTTTTTTTTTTGCATAGAAAAAGACTTAAAGAGAATTGATTGAATATCTAACAACAAAATTCTAGTTGAAATATGAGTGTGGTGTATTGAACAGATGGGTAATTTATAGAATTCATTTAAGAAAAATTCCTAATAAATTGTTTAAGCAATTATTGCAAACATACATCGATTGAAATGCACATACACAGAAAGAGACGCATACATCTCGACTGTCCTTACATATGCTAGCTAGCTGGACATAGACAAGGGAGTGTGTATCCTTATGCATATTCATTTAATTGATTGCTTTCACAGGCACAAAACAATATATTTAAAATAATTTATGAAAAGAAAAGGAAGAAAAATGCTTCTAAACGTTCCATATAGATAGAAGAGGGTTGTAGTGTTAGGCTATTCATGTATAGCCATGCACTGCATTGCATCTAAGATTTCTAGTTCTTTAATAATAAAGTATCATGTCCTTGGTTAATATTGATTTGGTTAGCTATAGAGTAGGAGCAGTTGCATTATATATCACAGATTCACTTCAATAGACGGCTATGGTTGTAAATTACTGGAAGAAGCATTTGACATTATCAGTGTACAGTATTCGGTGATATAAATTATATCATGTGAAATTTTCATAATTCAATTTTGGAAAAAAAATATATGTATGAGAATACTCTCTAGGGAATAAGGGGACCGAGAAATGATATTCCCAACTTTTCAAATTGTGTGTGTAACATTTCAAAACTCTACTTTACAATTACGAACTCTATTGTGATATCAAGATATACTCAGATATATAACCACATTCTCCATGCGATAGTGTTAGAGTATATCCATTGATCTAAAATAACAGACCGAATGCTGTTTCTTTGCCCAGCTAAATGTTTTCCCTACGTTCTTTTATGAACTAAGACAACTATGTGTTGGACAGTATATCGTATGAGAAAGGACAAGTCTACGATGCATTTTTCTATGCAATTCTGATTGAAGTGGCGTGGGTTTGGGTGTGTGGGTGTTTTTGAGAGGCTGACCGGCGATTTTGTGACAAGATGTGGTCAAACATTATCCTCCTGCCACCCACTCATCTAAGTATATTCATTTTTTAGCATTGTTCCTTCTACGATTTGCTCTACATTTACCTGTTTAAAATGCCAAAATCATATTCACTACATATACTAACGATAGCGAGAGTGTGTGTGTGTATGTGTTTGGTATGTTGTTTTAACACACAAAAACAGCAACAATGGCAACTTATTTCTGAAGTGTATAATACAGGTATAGATGGATGATGGTGCTTGGCCAATGGGTACATTATATGTATATGTGTGTGTGTGAGATGTAGTGGGTGCACGTTTCACTGCCAGATCTTGCTGATTTTCTCTTCTTGTTTTCGTTTTTTTTTTGTTATGTTGCTATTCCATTGAGCTTGTTAAAATACTTGTCCTTCTTTTGCTGATGTTTCTCCTCTTCAATTTCAACATTTCATTCAAGCTTCAGTGCTTTTTTGTTTTTTTGGTACAAAAACATATGTAAGCATATTTGTGAACATGTGTGTGTGTGTATTTTTTATATATAACAGAGTATTTGTATGTATGCTATTTGTTTTTGTTGTATTGCAATGAAATTATTTTGTTTTATTTCGTCTTGCACATTTTCTCAGGTTTCCTACTACGTGTCTATGGTACTCAAGCTTCGGCTTGGGCTCTTCATGCAAGGGTTAGCCGGCAACTCTTTTTCGCCAAAGTGAAATGACGAGTTGTTTCTTGTCCATGGGAACACAATGCTACCAACAACAAAGGAAACCATGCATGCATGTACTGCTGGCAATGGCAGTAATGGCAATAATAGTCGGAGTTGAACACCAAGGATATTCCGGTACACATAAAGGTTTTTTTTTTTGAACAACGACGGTAACTAAAAACGGAACCTCATCAGTAGCAGTAGCACTGTGTTGCTTGCTTGCTACCTACCTACATACGAGTACCGACCATCAAGAAAGACTATGGCATTAACAGTACAAAAGTGAATTGCAGCCAGCCTCAATGTATGTTACATTTTTTGTGGTCGATTGTTGTCGTTGTTGTTTCTCTCAGCTTTGGCTTTTGTAGTAGCAACAGAGCCCACCACTTATGGTCAATAAGAAACGTTTAGGGTATTGTTTGTGGCTGACATGAGATGAGCCATGAATGAGGTTACGTATGTGAGGATACCAACAGCAACAACAACAATAACACCAGAAGCAGCAGCAGAAGCTCAAAACCAAATTAAAGTTTATTCAAGTACAACGGGGTTTTGTTGTTGTTGTTAAACTCTGTTGTATTTTTGCATTCTTTTGCATCGTCCTTCCACAAATGTATTAATGGGTTTCCCCTTTTAGTTCTTCAACAACAACAACAACAATATCAAGTGCTTAAGAACTTAATTATAAGAGACTGGCAATAACAAACACAAAAACAAACAAAGCAAATATGTATTGAGTTCATGGTAACATGAACAACACCAACAAAAAATTCATCACAAAAACATCACATTTCAGACATACTGGAAGCCTGTATTTGTACTGAAAATTTTCACATTTAATGGTGCAAATGATTAACATGTCCAAAATGAAATTTAAAAATTGGTCTATGCTTTGATAAGGATGTGAGAATTTAGAAAAAAGATAAATTGGATAGCATTAAAAACGATTACACCTATACAAAGATATAAATATGGGAGGATATACTATAATTTGAATTAAAAAACATAGATGGTAGCCTGTCAGAGTTTAGACTCGAAAATTGGCAAATGACATATAATTACATTCAAAGTGTATTGGCTTATATTTAGGAGACCAGGGGAGTGGATTTTGTATGTATCCGCCAACAAGGCTCTCATAAACAAATATCATTAAGAAGGTCCAACACTTTTTTCGAACTATACAAGAATGTCCCTTGAAAGTGAAAAAAGCTTGAAAATGTAGCACATTTATAGGGAAATAATTGGAAGTTTTGTTTGCAGATGTATACATGTGCCACCAAATAGAAAGTGTCCTAATCATGTTCTAGAGATAGAGATATTGAAAATTAATTCAATTCCTGGCCTAAATACATACTCAGCAACTACATAGGGTCCATCGGGAGTTTTATTGACAAATCATAAATTTTCAAAAACCTAATATATTTACTGATCTCCTCAGATATAGATCTATTAATGATTCGCTATTAAATATTGGAAAAAATTTATTTTTCTAATTATTTCTAGGCATTTACAGAAAAATAAAATTTATTATTCATATTTTAACGACTTGAAGTGACTTCTTTTTTAAAGTCTTTAAAACTCTACCTATTCTTCTCAACGAAGTACTTCAAAAAGCCATTATTGTCAAAGAATAATGACTGTCATAAAAAAGCAAAACCGAATGGGTAGACAATTTACCCATCAATTTTATATGGAGTCATCTCATCTATCCCCCGAGATCAGTCAAATGATGCACCATACTTCCTTAACTCGACATTAAAATAAATCCGTTTTTTTTTCAAAATATATTTAACGCATACACTCACACCCCTTTAAGAGTGAATGTTTTGAAGCGAATGTTTTATTTTTTTATGTGCCACTCACACTTTTTCTATCATTTTTTTGTGCTCTTCCATTTTTTTTATGTTCTATATCAATATTGCACTAAAACCATTTTATTTACTCATAAAACTTCTTAACACTCAATACAAAAGAATTGCAATTTATGTGAATGTAAGCGTTTTATTCAAACGCTACTCCCCCTCCTGCCCTGTCATCTTGCTCCTATGACTTGTCTGCATCGTTTGCAATGCGCGCACACACACAGCAAACACATAAACACCGAACATAACATCAAAAAACAAGACAACCTGCAAAGCATTGGAAGAAGGACGAAACGAACGAAAAAAAGACGAATGGAGACTGCAATCCATACAACTGAGGTTTCACCAGCGAGACTGTGCTTGGGGAAAATGCTCATTTAGTAGCGTTTATCATAATATGTACATGACTGAGCGTTGCCTGCCAATGCTGGCTACATTTCAGCGAAACGAATCCTAGTTCAGGCAGTATTTGGTTTTTGTTTTGTTTTCTTGATTTTTTCGTTGTTGTTGTTGTTTGCAACTGTTTTGTTAGTATAAAAAATCCCTTAAGGACTCTGGGACTAGAGTAGCATTTAGAAGCCGGATTTGTCTGTAGTACTTAAATGTATGTGTGTGTGAGAAGATTTCACTAAACTTCATTGCACACAAACTGCATCGGGACTTAACAACAGTGGTTTCTTACACTTAAGTCCTTGCTACTGCCGCTGCTGTTTGCCATCATCATTGCAAGCAAGCAAGGATATTTCATTTTTTTATTTCTCGGTTTGAGTTTTGCATTGTTGTTGCCATGGTCGGTCCAAGTATTATTTACTCGCTATTGGGGATAAGCATAAATAAATAACATAAATAAGTAGACTCCTCGTCGAGTGTGCCCCGTGTTAGCATCTCTGTATCATTTGCCATCCCAAAGGATTGTTACTTTCGTAGAAATATTTATGCATATCCTTCTTCTTGGGCGAAAATGAAATAAATTCTATTTTATTTCATAAAAAAGAAGAAAGAAACTGTACCACTGAGATATGCTCTATGTGATTTGGATGCGTTGTATTGTTTTGTTGGACCCTAAAAGTATGCAATACAAAATGTAAACAGCTGTTTTAAATGACCAACAGCAACTGCATTGTCATGATGAATGTCAAAAGACACAATATATATAAAAATGAGAAACTTTGTTACACATATTGTGTAGTACATACATATTTATGCAGCAAACAGTATATGAAAAATTCAAAGGCTCCTAAGAAAATAATTAATTAGGTCTGAACATAAAATCGGTAATTTAAAATCCAATTGCAACTTGAAATAATAGATCGGGAGACTAAACAACAATTTGTAAAACTCACTTTGTAAAAATCTTTGATTTCATCTAGCGGTTGTTAAATTTCTGAGATCTTTGAAAAATAATGTATTATTGCATAACTAAAGGAGGTCGGAAATAAAAACGAATTACATCACATTTTTGCAAGAAATGTTTAATTTTCTGTTCTTAGATTTAATTTTCTGAAAAAAATCTCCTACAAAATAATATTTCTATGTTGTTGCCCCCTTTTTTTGCTTGTCATAATTAGAAAAAAATTGTCATGCCCATAATAGTCCTGCAATGATTATAAATTTGGTATTGCATCCCATTAGTATGCAATTTGTTTTTCTTCTTCTTCCTTTTGCATTTCAAAAATTACAAAGTCATTTAGTCCGGAGAATCACTGGAATGTAGAAGAAAAAAATTGGAAAAAAATCTTCTAATAATGTCCTGCATACTAAATCCAGTTCTTATTTAAGCAAATATTTCAAAAGCTTAAATAATGAAGTCAATGAACTTAAATGGAAAACAGTAAAATATGGGGGGAATGATTTTTAGAAATAAATTTTGTAAATGTTTTACTGACTGTTTTAAATTAACTTTTTCCTGTACCAGTAGGGAGGAGTACATATTTATGCTCACAAAAAATTTGCTTTCTAATTTTCAATTTTACATAAATACGGTGTACATGATATTATGATTACAGCAAAAATGATGGTTCAGCAAAAAAACTAGGTCTTCCTTCCAAGGATCATTACCTAATGTGAATTCAAATTGCTTCTGTGGTATTTTATTTTCTAATTTTAAAAAATGATTTATCAAAAATTGTTAATTCTTCTGGTATGACGTCCACGATTTATTAGAAAATAAATTTAAAATTTCTGAAAAAGCGAAGGACCCTTAAAAACAACAAATTATGGATTCCTACAAATCAATTGACCGATTAATAGACATATTAATTCGGATTTTTTAAGGGGACTACGTATATGTTTATGAAAAAACCCTTCAAAGTCTCGATGTATTGCCAAGACATGCTTTGTCAATTCAGTTTTGCATGAGTTGGGCTGAGTGACAACGCATTTTGACTGTAGGATGAGGTCTGAATCTGGCCCTTTGGCACTCGGTGAAGGCAATAATTACAACAAAAATGTAATTCGATAAATTAAACAGACTAACCAAAAAGATTTTATTTGAATTTTGCCTGGAAGGCCATTTAAATGAATTTTGAGGTTTTCCCCTTGCTTTCCTTTTCATTGCAAAACTTCGATAATAAAGCTCGACTTGAAAAAGAAAACCTCACTTAAAATATTTTAAAATTTTATTGATAGTAGGTTGGTGTTGGCTTTTTAATGTTGTTAAAAAAAAGAAATAAAAAAATTACTTACCTATATCCCGAATTAAGTTGTACTTCACCAATGGCTACATTTTCAAATAAGGCTGGATTCGCTGTCCATCTGGCCCAGTAGAATGTAAAATCATTGGCATCGTATTGATCTGTAAATCGACATTTTAATGTGAGATCTGATTTTTCTCTTGTATCGAGTGATTCATCGGCAATTGTTGAGGAAAGAATCGTCAATCCTGGAATGAAAACAAAAACATATATAAATAATGAATATTATTTGCGTTAAGAAACAAACAAAAAATTAGGAAATAAAAATAATAATTAATAAAACATGGACGTTTTTAGTAAAAATTTTCATTTATCATATTGTGTCCTTTTTTTCTTCTTAAGAATTACTCCCAAGGATAAGGTAAACTACAATCGATCAGACGGAATGGAGTGGCCTTTTATGCACGTGTATGATCCCAGCCATTTGATATAATCATTGATTTGTTTCCTCATAACCTTCAACCCTGTCATGTATTTCCTTGTAAATTGTTACATTTGGCATGGGGATAACAAACATTCTTCCGATACCACTTAACATTTTGGGCAACAAATATTTAAACCATTAGTTTCTTGTTACGCATATGAAAATATTCCATGGAATTCCTTGACCTTTTCCCTTCATTGTTAACATTATTCCTTCCCCAAAACATTGAGACTTCAAGGAAGGGCTGCTGTATTTTGGGTTACGCTCCAACACTCCATGAAAATGCCAATTTTGCAATTCATCAAACATTTCGAAGGTATTTACGCTAGATTAGAATATACAAGCAGCGATAGAAAATGTAAAGAAAGAAAGGACTAAACCTCCACCAACCCCTGTCCCACATTTTTTGGAAAACTAATTCTTAGATTATGTTGTCGCTAAAAATGAAAGAGCTAAAGGTAAAAAGGATTTGGAAAACCAAAATAACAAAACATACACAAACACACGCATACATACAGACGAAAAGGTTTGTTACGGTTATCCAAAACGAAGTAGAAGAAAAAACGAATTTGAAACCGAAAGAAAAACATTTGACCGTAAAAACTGTTACAAACGTATTATGAATCTCAATCACCTGAAATAGTCGTTAGGTATTATGGCTAAGCTCTATACTAACTTACTAACATATACACACACACACAAGAGCATGTTATTTGTCCACAATGGATTTCAGTTTAAACATAAGATTCATTGCCTTTTTTCTGGCCTTTGCCTAACCGGAAAATCAAATCGAAATGCAAACCCTAACCCAAGGAAAGCTAAAAGAGTATAGGAATGACAAAAGCAATAACAACAAGAAAATTGTGACTGTAGGTTAGGATCTGGATTCAGCACACTGTGTTGTTGTTTTTTTTTTCACTTTTTGGTAAGTAAGCAAGTCAATGTCCAAGAATCGATGTTTTATTTTGCTGATTAAGTTACGTGTCTACAACGAGCTGACTGACTGGATGGTATGTTGATGATGGTGGTATGTGTCGGTATGTGGTATTATTATGTGGTCGCTGGTCATGAGCTTGAAACTAACTATCTGGAATCTGGCGCACAGGTTATGCTTGTTCGAAAATTTTCTTATTTGGTTTCTCAATTTGGGTTTCTTTTATTTTTTAAACTAATTTCTTAACAACATCCGTTATTGATTTTATTGGTCGATTACTTAGCTCAATACTCATCAAATAAAACTTTTACTGGTCCGACAAATGATCGAAAAAGGGGAAAAGGATGTTTCATCATTTTTATTTTAGATCGATTGGAATATGTAAGTAGTTTGTGCTTTTTGAAGGTTAGACACATAACGAATGTTAAAAAAAATGTATCTTATTTTTGTTTCCATTTAGAAAGTGGTTTGTTAAGCATATTTCATGGTTGTCAGACATAAATAATGGGGGGAAATGGGGAGGGTCGAACTACGAAAAAAATTACCAATCAGAAATAAAATCATGAGAGAAGAAAAAACAAGCAAATAAAAAATATTTTCGACCTCTAAACAAAATGAACAAATAGACAGTACGCACACACATACACATGGGTGTGTGTGTGTGTGGTGGTCAAAATGTATTGAATTAGAAGGGTTTAACGGGCATGTCCATTATATTTAATGGAAATTTTGATAAGAGATAACACAATAAATTACATCGACACATACAAAAGGCATTGAAGAAAATAAGTTCATATATTTTAGCTGATTTAATGTATAAAGGAAGTAATTTTTTAGCTTAAATGGCCAATTGTCATGGCTTATTTCTTTTGAGACAATGGACCAAACTTAATTATGTAAGGAATAAATATGTAACGGTAATATGAAATATTTCTGGAGTTTCAAATGGTGATTCGGTTTTATATTTTTCTGGTTTGTGAATTGTTAAGCCAGAACAGAGATAACGCGACTGGTGTTCTGAAGCAAATCTGGTCACAGCTCTAGAACAATGTCATACCGACGAGAATTTTAGGCCAAATTAAACAATTTTGAAATATTGTCGAAAAATTAACTAAACTTTTTGAAAATGAAAACTTTAGGTTAGCAGGATATATCAATACCAAAATAAAATAAAAAAAACAAATGCTCGTTAGCAATGAGGAGATTCCAAGTTTCTTCATACTTCTGTAAAAACCCTTACAAAAATATTCTTATTATTATTATTATTATTATTTCGATTGATAATTTTTTGGTTTTGATTTATTTAGCAGTTTATTATATACAATATTTTTTTTGTTAATTTTGTATTATTTGATCCTTTATTTATATATATTTTTTTCATATGTGTTGTTAGAAGTCATAGAAATATCCAATTTCAATATCACATATAATATTTTTTCTCTCATTTGTAATTTCAAATATAATACAAGTTATTAGAAATATTTCTGGGAATATCACTCATACAAAATCTATTCGGAAAAAAATGAACAAAGCCTTTCATTTTCTATTTTCTGTGATTTGTTTTGTTCTCCTTTTCAAGTTCATCACTGAAATACAATATATATTTTTTACTTTTTATTTGCTATTAAATAAAACACAAACAATGACTTTAGAAGAAGAATGGAAACAAGCAAACAAATACGTTATTTGTGTATTTTTCACAACGCCATCAATGTCCTTGTGTTTGGGAAAAATAAAACACGTGGAAAACCTCAGGGTAAATAGGACCCCCTCTAACAACAGCAACACGCACCCAATCTGTTTGTTTTCTTTTCGAACGAGTTGTGTGTGTGTGTAAGGAAGTTTTTGTAAAAATGTTATGTCTAGCCCAAAGTTACCTTAACCACCATCCTACCCCCTTCTCGACCGACAACTGCTCGCTAAGTGCTTAAGAAGTTTATGGCTCAATATTTTACATAAATAATAAATGAATTGACGACGATGATATGGCTGGTTGGTTGCGTTTCTACCCTGAGGGCGCAAAATAACTTAAAAGTTCCAGACAAAGAGGATTAAAATATTTTGTAGCTAAACTACGAACATTTTCTATGAATAAACCAAATAGTAATGGCCAATATGTTTTTGGAGGTATATTTTCAGAGATGACTTTTTCAATGTTAAACAGCAATCGACAAATTGTCAAATGTTAGAAATGTTGTATTTACAACATCAAATGTCAATGAGGGCTTAAGCCCTCACAAAAAGGTTGAATATACGAAATCGAAGTAAAATTAAAGGAAAAGTTTAATAAAAGCTTTCAAAGCTATTACAAGGGTTACATTACCCTACCTTACATGCTATAAACATGACAAACAAAAAGTAATTAACCTTAAGTTTTCACCAACGAACATTTTTAGATTCATTTTTCTGCCATTACAGAGTGTGTTGGGTGTAAGAGGAAACAAAACCTCCTGATGTAGGACACATAGACACATACCAATGTAATTGTTATTTTTCTTCAGCATCTCCTTGTTGAGTTTGTGTGCTCCCTTTCGTTTAGTTTTCTTGCAACCATTACTCACAATGCAACTTCATCGCCCAGCTTTACTATGTCTTCTTTCGCCGAAGTTGGTATAAAAGTATAAAATTTATGTTGGAACTTTGTCGCGTCACAAGATTTAAAGATTTCATTTTTATGTTTTTTTTTCTTTATTATAAATGTTCATGGTGCATTTTGTGTGCTGCGTGAATCTCCAAAAAAACCAAGGAATGGAATGGCACTTTTAAAGCCAGCGATTGTGCGAATTTTTGAGCGTTACGATGTCCATATTGTATGTGCCATATTTGAACTGATGCAATTTTAACTTTATTTGAAAGTTACAAATGCACAATACATGGACTTCATGGCCGAAAAAAGACGACAAATAAAAAAAAATAAATTGTGAACAATTCACAAAAAAAAGAGGACAGAAGAGTGAAAGGACATTTGTGGTGTAGCTACATATAAATTCAATTGTTGGTCGTTATAAAGATAATAATTTTTTTAAATATTTTATTGATTCTGAGTAGACAACCATTCACGAAATCTATAGCATACACCAGTCCCTTTTTTAGGTCTTAAGACACCAATGCACCATAAATCTGTTATGTACGTTTTTAAATGTTGTAAGTTTTAAAGGAACATTCTTGAATATTTATGGGTTCAAATTTAATTAAGAAAACCTTTGATTTTAATTCCAGATTAGGAGTGCCATTCAAAAATAAAATTCCATACACCTGGAAATTTGTTGTGAAGGATATATTTTGTGAACATCCTTTTTTTACAAATATATTCGCTAAGTACGACTGTATAATATAAAATTAATTTTTTTATTAGTTTATTTTTCTTCTTCGCAAAAAAGAAAAAAACAATTCAATAAAATAATATTACAAAAATTACAACTCGACAAATACAATGGGCAAATGGTAGAAAAACGAAAAATCTTGTCATTATTATCAGACCTGCTACAGCATTCAACGACAACGTGGAACATGGACGACAAAATGGCAGATTGTGACACATCATGTGGAAAATGCAAAGACGGCGATGTAATAAGGAAGAAGAAAATGCAAACTCACACAGCTGCAGCTGCATCAGTTAAAGAAAAACTCAATTTCCCCTTTTATGAAAGTGAAACGTTAAATTGCAATTCCCATTATTACTACGAAATTTTGTCCGAAAGCCTTCAGTTACGACAATGAAAAAGAGGAAACCCCTTTTTCCAAATGACATTAATTTTTCAATTAGCAGCAGTGTAAGAAGACAGATACTGACGGAAAGAAGAAATGAGTGGAAATAAAACAAAAATTTT